TGTTTGGGATCCTTTTTTCAAAATTATTTTAAAAAAATTTTTTTTTCAATATCGGAGGTTATGATCCAAATGTACAAATATTATAGAATGTATGTAAATAACTGCTCATTTTTCAATATTTCCCTGTTCTATATACAGTTATGGTTATTTTGATGTATAATTTGACTAGGTGCAAACATATTTTTTGAGTTTCATTTGAGATTAGATCTATAAATATTTTGTTTTCAAATTTTATCCGCAGCCAATCACAATTGTGTTGCATAATCGCCTCTTACAGGAACCAAAGTTGAAAAATACTCAAACAAAAAATACAGATGTATTCTACAAACCATACTGAAAATGTTGGTATATAATATGTTGATATTCATTTGAATTTATGGCCCCCAAGACTTGTGAACTGCGCACTAGTCATCATCTCATTTCGCCCTTCCGAAAAAAATTCGTCCACAAGTTGAAAATAATACGTAGCGAATGAGTTAAGGGAGAAGGAAAAAAATTATTTTGGTGAAACTACATATAATGGTGTGTGTGTGTGTGTGTGTGTGTGTGTGTGTGTGTGTGTGTGTGTGTGTGTGTGTGCGGGTGTGCATATTATGCTTGTGTGTGCATGTTTCAAAGACAAAATTTTCTAAAATCACAAACTTTCAAGCCTCACGTTAATCGAGACAATGCAATCAGAAACCAAGCCTACACAGTGTAGAATATCCTAAATACTAAATTCATAACATCAGATAAAAAAGAACAGATGTGAACACTTAGTTTTAGTGTTAGTAGAGGTTTTACGGAGCTCGCAGCTGCACAAGGTCATATGAGCGCCAGAAGATTTGCGGTGTTACAAGAGAGTAACAAACATAAAAAAGAAGAAGGGGAGATAAGGGCGATAGATGTTTGATAGGAAAGAAGGAGCAAACCACACCAGAGCACCCGCCAACCACCCGCGTAAACACTTAACCGGTATGTCTTTTCTACAAACTTCTGCAATACTGTCCTTAAAATTAGTACTTAAACAATATCAGTCTGAAATAAAATAACTGTTCTAATGGCCATCTATATTATAAGACAATCACCGGTACAAACAGCCACTTCCCACTTCCTCCCTTGTGTATTTTTACATTATAACGATACTGTGTAAGACAGCCACCTGTCTTAGTCTGTCTCCTTATGCGTGACACGACGTTTAGTCGCATGCGACAGCCGCTAGTGACGAGTCGCGGGGTGTGCACCCTTATGCCCGACCACATCGCACCAAAATTTTCAGTCGCGGGTGACAAAAGCGACAAAACTGTCTCCTTTCTGCGTGATGCGACGTTTGGCCGCACGCAACTGGCTACTCACAGAAGAGAGACAGTGGCAAGTTTTAATGTCAAGATGGACACGGAAGTACAAAGCCCGTCAGATGGGTGTTCTACCAGCAGCTGACATTTTTGATTCTGTACATGGCAAATCCCGTGTTAGTCCTCCTTCTCCTCTTCCTCCTCCTCCTCCTCCTTCTCTTCCTGCTGTCCGTTAAAAAAAACAAAACAACAAAATTAGATTCACAAAACTTGCATTAGGTCGAACTGAAGATGAACATCCTACAAACACACACACACACAAACACACACCACACCACACACGGTGTGTAGACCGGCACTCCTTGGCTAGGTATTTAGACCAATGGTGATGCTTTAAACGTGTCACACCCCCAGTCTGTCGCGCGTGATTAGACGTCGTGTCACGTGTAAGGAGATGCTTTCTTTTGTCAAATCTGACTTGACTGATTTTAAAGCAGTAAGGACCAAACGCGAGGCGACATTGCGTCGCACAAAGGGAGACAAGCTCTTATATGGCCACTCTTTTCCTCGACAACGGTGGCCATCTTAGACAGTTTCGACTAACTGTACGCAATACATACCTCGAAAAATCTTCCCTCAGGAAATGGCTGGAAGCACTGTGCACACCTGAAACAGAACCAAAGTCAGTAAACACCCAACAAAAAACAAACAAACCCCGATCCTAATAACGGCATGCTGAAAACATGAAGCCACACCTTATATATTATTATAGCATAGACGAATGACCTTTTCCGGCAAATCAAAACCATATTTTTTAAAATATTGTTATCCCTGCTCTGAAAATTAGTGAGCTGATAGGCAGAAATTTATTAATTGAGGAAGAAGAAGAGAGGGACTTTGAACATTTAAACAATTTTTTAAAAATTACTTTAAATGAAGATGTTTTTTACGGCCGCAAACAATTCATATCATTTCGTAGGTGGGCCTTTGACCGTACCTGTCAGGGCCAACCTGGGTGGAGAGGTATGCAACATCCCAGCAAAAAGATGAGATACGCAGTAGAAACTTTACCCCCATTTGAGAATCGAACTAGGGTTTCTTACGTATGACAGTGAAGCCCCTAACTACTACACCACAAACACAATATAATGAAAAGGGCATCCACACAACAACTGTGGCCATTTAGCACCAAGAAAAAGTCAAGTCTTGGAAAAACTCTAGAAAACACACATAAATATTGGCAAAATAAAGAGAAAAAGGACCGATACTAACACTAAGAAAACACACAAATACACACATACAGCCCCACCCACAAACACATAATACACGACCTGCATTTAAACTTATGAGAGAAGAAAAACCCTCACATTCTAAACAGTCCACATATAAATTCTGTAACTCCCTTCTCACCCCTTTCCAACATGCACACAGATGACGAAACCAACAGGCACTTCTTTCAACACAATTGTAAGAAAAAAAAAAACACACAAAAAAGCCCAAACTCCAAAACAAAACAAAGAAAGACGCCAATATTATGCGCCTCTTCTTCTTCGACCCTTCACTGCACAAAACTGTGTCACTTCACAAAATGACCCTGACATTTCCACACATGGGTGAGGACC